TAATCTCCTATTTATTCTAAGTGTATGTATTATTTCAACAATAGAAAAGATAAAACTTTTTACAGTTAAAAATAAAAATAAGGCAAAAAAGAAAAAAAGGGAAAGGAAAGGCTGGTTCACATAAAATTCAGGAAGAAGGGAGAAAGAAGAAGGAAGATTTAGGGGGCTACAGAGATGGCTCAGAGGTTAAGAGCACTGACTGCTCTTCCAGAGGTCCTGAGTTCAGTTCCCAGCAACCACATAGTGGCTCACAACCATCTATGATGAGATCTGGTGTCCTCTTCTGGTGTGCAGAGAGACATGGAGGCAGGATGTTGTATTCATAATAAATAAATAAATCTTAAAATAAAAAAAGAAGGAAGATTTAATCAGGCAGGAGACAAGGCCTCCCAAAACACCAACCCCTGACTCCATGTCGTTCAGCGGCACAAGACTTTGCCTAGCATGTTCAAGGTCCTAGATTTGATCTGGGTTAAAGGCAGGAAGCCCATAACTTATTTAGGAGGCTGAGGCAGGATTGTTCTTGGGCTATACAGCAGAATACCATCTTTAAATAACAAAAGCACTAGAAATCTCATTTTTATAAAGTAAGGTAGTGAGTACTGAGTACACAGGTCTTCAAGTTGTGAGGTTTTTATTTGTTTGTGTGGTTGTTTTTGTTTGGTTGGTTTGTTTTGTTTTGTTTTGTTTTCTTCAAGACAGGGTTTCTCTGTGTAACAGCCCTAGCTGTCCTGGAACTCAACTTTGTAAATCAGGCTGGCTTCAGAGTCAGAAATCAGCCTGCGGCTGCCTCCCAAAAATTGGAATTAAAAGTGTGTGTCACCATGCCTGCCTCAACTTGTTATTCCAAATTGTGGATTTGTGTTAAATACACCTTTATGCATATGAGCCATTTCATAATTTAAAAAGGTATGGTCAGGGTTAGGGAATCAGAATTCTAGAAAAAAACCCACACTCTGGCACTTATTGGATGCATGCCTTAAACAAAGCACTTACTCTTTATTACTCTTAACAGCATAGTTGTTATTTTTAGATTATGAAACTAACAGCTAGCTTTTTCTGACATTTAATGAACTGCTTAAGGTAACTAAACTACAAACATACAACCTGTAGATTAATTGTGGTTTCAAAATAACATAAAACAATAACTTCTTTATAAACAAACAAAACAAAAATGCCATAATACCTCAGTGGCAGGGTAACATAACCATTCACCATTCTAGCTTCTGCCCATCTCTCTATGAAAACTAATATTGTCTTAATAGTCACTACATAAAATTGTGTTAAATGCTTTCTTAGCTTATTCTGTTTAACTCACAAAACAATCTTAATGAGGTTAACTCTATTATCCTCACTTTACAGATTATCTCATTGTGTCCAAGGTCACATATCTAGTAGCAGTGAGTAAGCTTCAGAATCCACACATTTATTTTGCTCACTTCTAAACTTAAAACAGTCTGTCCTTCCCATGACACTGAAAGCTCCTGACAACTGCTTTTTTTTTTTTTTTTTTTTTTTGCTTCTCAAGACAGGGTTTCTCTGTGTAGCTTTGGAAGCTGTCCTGGAACTGGCTCTTGTAGACCAGGCTGGCCTGAAACTCACAGAGCACAGAGATCCACCTGCCTCTGCCTCCTGAGTGCTGGATTAAAGGCCTGCGCCACCAACGCCCGGCTTGACAACTGCTTTTAGTTCATCTCCATCTCCCCTAGCACTGAGCAGGCACTAAACAGTGAACATACTCTGTGTGTGTGTGTGTGTGTGTGTGTGTGTGTGTGTGTGTGTGTGTGTGTGTGTGTGTCTGCATCTGTGTATAGCATTTAAGACATGAACTCGTCTGTTTCCTTTGACAGCCTTTGTGTAGTATGAATGTTTTGTTTTGCCATTTTAACCATAGCTAAACATACTATTCAAGACCTTCAATGTATTCAAAATGTTGCACAATAATTACCACTAAGTATAAAAAGGGTTGTATGGCTTTACTGAAATCAATCCTCTTTTAAATATTGGAATCAGAGTTGGGGTTTAAAGTCAAAACCCTTGACTCCTAAATTCATGAACCCTTCCTTCACTTTCCCCAGGCTTCTGTCTACCAATCTCTCCACCTGTTCTCCACTTTTCAACGGTGTCTGCTTCACTACTGCACAGGTAACCATGACTAGAGGAAAAATAAATCCACAAGACAGTTCTCCCAGGTGATTATCTTTCATTTTGAGCCTTCAAAAACTAGGGCTTTAACATCAGCTAATTCACAAAAGCAATGTCTAGACCCCAGAGTAAAATGATGAGGAGAAATGCTCTCATTGGTTAGATTACATTTTCACTGTATTACAGGTAACTGCTCAAGCTTGATTTTTTTAAATTAGAATACAGAAAGCATCCAAAAACAAACAAACACACCCACACTTCCAATTGCAAGAATGTCTATCCCTCCATCGCTCCTCCTATTTTGGGGGAAAAATTTTTAAAGACTATGAGCATCTTTATGTGGTCAATTATGAAACCCAAGGAAAATGGTTTGGTTTGTAGCTAAACACTAAAGTTTTAACAAAAAAAATTTTTTAATTCCTATTGGTATTAATCTTATCTTCTTTCCATTTCTCCTCATTTTCCCTCAGACTGAGCTCCAATCAACAGCCACTCCAAGTTTAACATATCACACTTAATGCAATTAAACCCAGAAAACTGTTTCCCTAACGATGTTCCCCTCACCCAGACTCAATTCCCAGCACCCACACAAAGACATACATTCAGGCATGCCAATGCACATAAAATAAAAATAAACCAAGAAGAAAAGAAGATGTTCCGTCTCTTTACACTCCTCTCTACCTTCCATCATCAGGGTTCTACCACAAGAATAAACTTACCTCTAAGCTTTAAACCACATTTCTGATGACTGGATGGAGCTACTGTTTTTGTAGTTAGTGCAACCTGCCTATATCAACGCCATCCCCTTAAAAACAAAATATGGCTGCATTTACTTCATTTATCCACGCCTGACAGAACTCTGATCACTTGAATTCCTTTAAAAGAAAATTCAATCTATAGAAACAGCAGTGTCAAAAAAGAATCAAATGAACAAGTCCATCAGTAACAAATCATCTTATCCATGAATATTTATTACATTTCCATATTTCCTGTCTTCTCTGTTTACATAATGGTAATGCCAAGACTCATCTCAGGATTATTAGTCTGCAGTACAATGATGGGCCTAATTGCCTTGCAAACCAGGACACCAATAAATGGAGTCTTCAAGCAATCAATTTTATTGGGGAGAGGTGGGGCTTGCTAACCTCTTTTTGCCTAGTGCACCTTGCCTGCCTAGAAAATAAATTCAGTCTTCCTATTTTTCAGTATCATTAATCAGTTCTCAAGCAAGAATACACCCTTAACAACCTCAAGTTCATCAAAGTCCATTTAAATGACAAATTCCAGAACTAGTTTTCAGTGTGCCAGAGAGAGGAGGGAAAGGAGAAGGCAGAAACGGTTTCACCTTTTCCCCCCTTTCATGAGAGTGGGTTCCTCCACCCTCGAGGAGTTTCTCTTTATGACACAGGAATTGCAAGACACCCCCCTCCCCGGCTCAGTTAATTCCACCTTAAATGAAGATTCTCTCAAAACTTTACCCTTGGGCTGTTATTTCCAGACAATACCAACATAAACCAAACAAAAAGGTCACATTGACAGCATAAGACATCCCCTAGGAGAATCTTTACCGTACTTTCTCTCCCCTGTGAAAGACCCTTCTAATGACCTTATTATTATTATCTCTCACCAAAGCAACCATGGATGCTAAGTGTTCTAACCCCTAAACCTCTGGCATGTCTTGGAGGACATCCTTTCCTAAAAAAGCCTCCGACTCCTTCCCAGCACTGCTCACTGGCCCTCTCCATCCTCTCTGTCCCAACCTACCCACAGGCTGGGTCTCCAAGTCTTAAATTCCCCCTCTGCCACCACACCACAGGTAACCAGCTCATCAGACATTACTTCTGCTAAACTAGCAGAGACGTTTTCTTTAAGATGCCCTCCCCTAACCTTGCTCACCACCTGCCAGTATCCTTTCAGTGAGTCCTTCTGACTAAGGAGTCTTACATACCCTCTGCCTCCAACTTACACCCACGGGAGCCACCTTGCTCCCTCCAGTGATTTTAAACACCCTAAATCGTTTTCCACTGTGCCCTCATCCCCAATTTCAATCCCTGCCCTCCTATTTGGGGCCCAACTTACAATTTACTCCCTCCTGGCAGCTTACCAACCATCTCCTGTAGTTGGAAGTCTCCTTCTCCGCGACTCCCAACCCATATTCCAACCTCCAGCAGCCGACCCCAAGAAAACCCCAAATAAATTCTACCTCTTCTGTTCTCTCCAAATCCAAGCTACTTCCTTAAGGATTCGCAAATTCCACCATCCCCAGAAGCCACTTCAAGCTTCGGTCTCAACCCATGCCAAACCCCTCACCCCCAGCTCCTCCATCAGTCTTCCCCAGGTCCACCCCAAACCCCACCTTCCAGAATTAGCAATCCCCGGAGTCCCATCCAACGTTTATTTCCCACTCCGCATTGAAAAGATCTCCTTATCCCCCACCCCAGCTCTGATCCCAAGCTGTCAACTGCTTTAGGCCAACCCCAAATCTTCACCTTCATTCAGTCCCCTCCCCCATTAAAAGACATCCCACTCCGGTCTCACCTTCCACCTCGCCCCAAGACAATCCAAAATTCCACCTCGATACCCCCACACCATGCTCCTGTCCCAGGTCTGGTTATCCCTCCTTGTAAAGTCGCCCCCCTCCCCCGCTACCCTCCCTTGACCTGCTGGTGTCCCACCCTCACCCAACCCCCAGCCCGCGCTCGGACAAGTCTCCCCCACCAGCCCGCCGTTCCATCGCCACCTCGGTCCCCTCCCCCCAGCCGGCGCGGGGGGCCCCACGGCCCCCACCCTCATTCTCGCCGGCGCCACCAGCCCAAGCTCCACAGGAGCGGGCCGGGGGGCGGGGGTCTCCTCACCGGCGAGCTGCTGCAAGCGAAAACCGCGGCGGCGGCAGCTGAGGCGGCGGTGCCCTTGTCTTCTCCGGAGGCTACAGCGGCGACGCTCTCGTTCTCTCGTCCGTGTCCAGTAGGGTGGTGGATGGCGCGCAGGGACGGGAGCCTCCTCCTCCTTCTCCTCAGCTACTCGGCTCTGAATCCTCTGCAGTAGCCGCGGAGAAACCCGACAGTGGGGGAGGGGACGCTCGGCTGCAGGCAAGAGAGGAGGAGGCGGAGGGAGGGGGCGGGGGACCGCTGAGAAGGGCGGGGGAGGAGGAGCCCGCGAGCCGTCCCGACACGTCCCACAGCCTCAGAGCTCCTGGACTACAACTCCCGGCATGCTCTGCCGCGGCCCTGCGCGGCCTGCATCTTCCAACCGCGTGCCGTTCCTGGGGCCGCACCCTCTCGGGTCACAGACAATGGAATGAAGCCGACTGTCCACTGGAGACTTTTGTAGACCCAAAGACCGCTTGAGAAGGAAGTCGGATATTTTTGCAGCCTCATCTCCATGAGACAAAACTCTCTACGTCTCCAACCTACACAAACACTCGCTTCATCCCGAAGGACTACACCTCCCAGCATGCCGCACAAAGCTGCCCATCCTCTCCTTCCGGACCCCTCTGAGACCCGGTACTACAGTTCCCAGGAGTATGGTCCTTGCGAAATGCTGGGATTTGCAGTTCTCAGTTCTTCCTCCATGTTAAGAAAAAGAAGTGAAAGAGAGGAAAGGGGGAAGGACTACTCCAGCCCACAGAGCTTGGGCCTAGATGGGCTACATCACCTGTAATTCTGTACTCTCCTCCACATCTCCGTTGTCGCTGTCTCTCCAGAACTAACACAGCAGCTGCCCCACTGTCTTCCCTGCAAATTAGAGGACGATTCTGCCACTTGAATCCTCATGTAAAAAGGACATTTGTTTACATTTACATTACTTACAAGTATTTAATCTGCAAAAATGATCGAAATGCTTAGGAAAGAGATCAAGGTTATTAGAGGAGGTTGTTGAATAGGAGGTGGGAAAGATGGAGATATCCATCAATATGGACTGATTCAACAAACGGTGATGCATCCATACAACATAGTGCTAAGCAGCCATTTGAAATGCTGATAAATATCTTTAGACGTGGAAGGCTTTTCACAGTTTGCTCTCGGAGGGGCAAATTGATTACAAAAACTGCACGACTAGATAGGTTCAATTTATTTGAAGTTTGAGAATATAAAAGCATAACGGTTTCAGGAAAGAGATTCTCCAAAATGTTATCAGTGATTAGATTTGAAAAAAGAAAAAAGATTGCTAGGTTTCAAGTTACTTATTTTGTATTTCCTGCATTGTTTAACAGAATACACACCTTTTTTTTTTTTTAACTGAAAGGCTATTTCCAAAGGAAAAAAAAATGTATTATCTCCCAATACAACAACCTCTTTCCCACCTAGAAACTTTCCTTGGTCCCCCGTTTCCAGAATGGTGCTTTAGGACTGTGTCTTTCTGTAAACTCAGTAGATCTGCTATTTAAAAGATGGTGGTTATGGACGGTACTAGTTACCTCTCTGGATGCTCAGGCAAAATACCTGACTACTGCAACTGATGAAAGGAAGGAAGGGGTTTTGTTTGTTTGTTTGTTTTTTGGGTTGTTTGTTTGTTTGTTTGGTGTTTCTTTTGGAGGGAGGGATGCTCAAGACAGGTTTGGGGTTTCTGTGTGTAGCCCTGGCTGTCCTGGAACTCACTTTGTAGACCAGGCTGGCCTTGAACTCACAGAGATCCACCTGCCTCTGTATACACCACCACAGCACAGATGGAAGGGTTTATTTTGACTTACTTTCACCTTAGGAAAGATTATTTGTCAGGTCCAAAAGCAACTTCGCTCAAATGGCTATCTGTGGTGCCTATTAGCTTACCAAAGCATATTCTGGCCTCCATACTCCTTCTGTATCAGAAGAACCTGTTACAGAGTCCATACTGGCATCATGGCTCTTCTCAGCCTACCCCCATCCTAAATTTCTCCAGCTTGTGGCCCTGCCTGCAGCTTCTCATTCCCTTGTGCCCTTGCTATTTTGACTATGTGTTCTCTTGCTCTCTCTCTCTCTTGGTCAACTGTTTCTCTTCTTCTCCCCACCGCTCCCTCATCTCACGGCCAAGTCCAGTCTGCTGGCCATGTTCAGCCTATTGCTTTGTCTTTCTGCTCTGAATTCTTCCAGATGCCTCTGGCGGTACTATCCCTCATTACAACAATAAAAACCTTCAGTCCATACAGCTTGGCAGTAGGAACAGGTCACATGAGAGGGAGATGCTTGTGCTCAGAAAGCACCTTTTCCTTTCTATTCAGTCTAGGAACCCCATCCCAAGGTACAGCCCACATTTAGGGTGAGTCCTCCCACCTCATTGAACCTAATCTAGATAACCCCTCAGACATGCCCAGATACTTGTTTTTCCATAGTAGTCCTAAATCCCCTCAAATTAGCAAGATTAGCCATCACAATTATATATATATATTGAGCAAGGAACTCTCAATTTCTCTTCTCAAATTATTTCTTTTTCTGGGCTTTTTCCCCCTACTCCAAAGTCTCACATAGCCCAGTGTGGACTGGAACTGGCTATGTATCGAAACAGGACTTGAAAGCCTGATTCTCAGTCTTCCACTCTCCAGTGCTGGAAATACAGGTGTGCCACGTGCACCCAGCTTTCTCTTTATTCCTACACATTCTCCAAACCCAAGCCAGTCATACCTTCCATAGAGTCCATTTTAGACACACTGATTTTCCTTATGTCTTATTCTTTTTTTTAATATTTTATTTATTGTGTATACAGTCTTCTGCCTGCATGCCAGCGGAGGGCACCAGATCTCATTCAAGGTGGTTGTGGGCCACCATGTAGTTGCCAGGAATTGAACTAGGACCTCTGGAAGAACAGTCAGTGCTCTTAACCGCTGAGCCATCTCTCCAGCCCACCTTATGTCTTATTCTTCTCCTGGTGGTTTCTGATCTGTGAGCCAGTTGCTCATTGTGCACAAGGTAAGTGAGCATGATTATTGTAAAGGGTCTACAACACTACCCCACAAGCCATTGTCTGTGGAATGAATGAAATGTATCTTCACTTTAAAAATATTTTTCTGCTGGGCGTTGGTGGTGGTGCATGCCTTTAATCCCAGCACTCGGTAAGCAGAGGCAGGCAGATCTCTGTGAGTTCGAGGCCAGCCTGGTCTACAAGAGATAGTTCCAGGACAACCTCCAAAACAATACAGAGAAATCCTGTCTCTGGGCTGGGGAGATGGCTCAGCAGGTTAAGGCGAGCCTGATATGATACCCAAGTTTAATACCCAAAACCTACTACATAAAAAGCATGTGTGATAATGAGCACCTGTGATCTGAGCACTCAGGAGGCAGAGATGGAAAACCACCCAGCACTCCTGAACCCTCTAGGCTGGAGTACAAAGCACCTTTGCAGAAACTAAAGAGACCTTGCCTCAAGAGTGTAGAAGGAGAGAATTAATTCCCCAGTCTTCAGGGGTTTTTTGCTTGTTCAGTTGGTTGGTTTTTCTGCTATTGTTGCTGTTGTTTTGTTTTTCCAGATAGGATTTCCCTGTAAGAAGATAATATAAAATAAAATGAAAGCCAAGAGTCGTGATGCTTGTATATGCTTCTAGAAGTTGGAACGTGGAAACAAAAGAATCAGAGTTCAAGGTTAGCTTCCTACAATGAAGTTTTATTTTGTTTTAACTATTTATTTATTTTTATGGCTATAAGTGTTGTTTCCTGCATGTGTATGAGCCCTTGAAAGTCAAGAGGGTTTAGGATCTCCTAGAATGGGAGTTACAGACAATTGTGAGCTACTATGTAGGTTCTGGGAATTGAATCCAGGTCCTCTAGAAGAACAACCAGTGTTTGTAATCACTGAGCCATCATTCCAGCCCCAAGACTTTCTTGTCTCTATTTTATAAAAAGTAAGGCTGAACATGGTGGCTCATGTCTTTAATCCCAGCACTCAGGAGGCAGAGGCAGGCAGATCTCTGAGTTCGAGGCCAGACTGGTTACAGGATAACAAGGACTATACAAAGAAACCATGTCTCAAAAACCAAAACAAAATAGGTAAGTGGATTCCTCAAACTGTTCTTTTCTCTTTATTGAATTTTATTAATTATTGTTTCAGCCATTATGATATTTCTTTGTTAGTAATTATTTCCATCAAATCTACCTTTTCCTTTGCGCAATTTCAGCACTGTTGGCTTTAATTTTGTCATTTCTACTAAAAGGAATTTTCCCAGGGGCCAGCTTTGCAGTGTTCAGTGTTATTCACAAAGACAAGATCATTCAGTCTGCTTTTCCATCCATAGTAAATTGTACCACATGGAGCTTTAGCCACTGTCGGTTTTATTTTTATGTTGATTATTTCTACCATATGGAATTTTTCTACAATCCTATGAAAACAAACTCAGAGTCAAAATGACACGGTCCAAACACTATCCTTTGCCTGTCATCATCTGATTAATTTGTACTTTGTAATGAATTTGTCCTAGTAATGTGATGGGCATTTTGCACCTATCTCGCAAAACATCTCTGGAAGCCTTGATACAAATTTGGAATTTATTTCTACAACTGCTCTGGGGATTGTGCTGGTTGTGGTGGTGGAAGGATGTTTACCCTGTCATGCTCAAGGCCCTGAGTTTAAAAAAAAAAGTGTCTCTAAGGACAGGCATGGTGGCATCCCACATATGACAGGTACAGTCAGTAAGAGTAAGAGTTCAGCTAAATGGGAGATTAAGGCCAGCCTGAATTGCATGAAACCCAATAATAATAATAATAATAATAATAATAATATCAGCAACACAACAATTTACTGTGGAATCATAAGAAAAATAGACATTAAGGATACATTAGAACTGGTCTTTATTAATGACCCAACAGCTGTTTTAGTGTCTAAATCTATTATTTTATTAAATCCTTCAGTCTATGCTTCCTCAAATACACCGTTAAATTTTTTTTGTTTGTTTTTCAAGAGAGGGTTTCTCTGTATTTTTGAAGCTGCTCTGGAACTTACTTTGTAGACCAGGCTGACCTCAAACTCACAAAGATAAGCCTGCCTCTGCCTCCCAAGGGAGTGCTAGAATTAACTGTATATGCCACCACTGCCAAGCTAAGTTTTCAGTTTTTTTTTTTTTAAGAGGCTAACAAAGGGCTGGAGAGATGGTTCAGAGGTTAAGAGCACTGTCTGCCCTTCCAGAGGACCTAAGTTCAATTCCAGCAATCACATGGTGGCTCACAACCATCTGTAATGAGATCTGGTGCCCTCTTCTGGTATTCAGGCAGAACAGTGTATGCGTGATAAATAAATAAATCTTAAAAAAAAAAAAAGAGGCTAACCAAGAGAAAACACACGAATAAAAAAAACAAAACAAAACAAAAAAAAAAAACCTCTGAAAGAGCTTCCTGTGACCAAATAGAGACAAAGGCATGAATATATTTTATAACACTAGGGCAAATGGAAAACTACCATTTATATGGAAGACTGTTGCATGAACTGCTATGCCAGAGTGTTAGGAAATAAATAACACACCACTGATATCCAATACATGAGTAGCAAGTACCCATTCTAATATTTTATTCCAACAGTCAATGGTAAGCAAATAGCATTGCATCCTGTTCATCCTTCAGGATCTGAACCAGATACCAGAAAGCCTCTATCGACCTGTTGGGTGCGAGTCTGCTCTGGGCTCCCAAGGCTGGCTCACACTCTTCACTATCTACCCTCCTCCCTCAATGGCAAGGCCCAAGGGTGTGTGATTCATCTCTGTGACCTGGGGTGATTGAATTAATGAATCAATCAGTTAACACAAAAGTACATAGACTATATAGATAATCAATTCAAATGCAAAATTACACATTAAGTGAAAGGTAGAAAATAAATGGAATTTTAGGAAGCCATCATAGCAAGGAATGCTCCCACACAGTGATAGCAACATGAGGGAAGACGCTTGACATACTGGGCTCACTTCTTGCTTCTGCCACTTCAAAGTTTCATGACTTCAAGTTGCTTGCCGCCTGTGTCTGTTTTCTTGTCCATGAATGTGGTCATCCCAGTAGACTCCCCTCCCACAGATAAAGGTAACTGAGGTAATGGATGCTGTCATGCTATGAGGAGCTGGCAGAGTGACGACTTGGGAGAAGGGGTTGGAGTTGAAGTCTAGCAGAATCCTTCGTATTAAGCTGCTCAAATATACAAACTTTAAAAAATAAAAAGTAGGACTGGGCCTGGAGAGACGGCTCAATACTTAAGAGCTGTTGCTCTTGCAAAGAACCTAGGTTTGGTTTCCAGCACTCACATGGCAGCTCACAACTGTCCCTCACTCCAGTTCCAGAATACACAGTGAACATTCCTACATGCAGACAAAACACGCATACACATAAGATACAATAAATATAAAAGAAATAAAAGTCCAGTTGTCAAGATGGCTCAGCAGGTAAAGGCTCCTGCTGCCAAGCTTGACAACCTAAGTTCAAGCCTGGGAACTCACATGGTGGAGAGAGAGAACCTTCTACACACACACACACACACACACACACACTATATTCAAGTGGACACATGCACATATAAAATAAAATGTAATAAATAAGTATACCAATTGCAACTGTATATGAATCGTGTCCCCCTCAAAACAACAAAAAATGTCCATGTCCACATCATAACGCTTATACTTGGGAGTGTGACCTTATTTGGAAATAGTGTCTAGGCAGATGGGATTAAATAAGGATTTTGAAATGGGATCATCCTGGATTTAGGTGATCCCTAAATCTAATAACTTCATAGAGAAACTTACATTTTTCACTTTTGTCCAGTATTGGGGCTTGAACATGTTAGCCAAATGCTTTACCTTTGAACTCAGAGCAAGCTCTGTGTCCTTGAGACATAGAGGGATCACATGGTGGTATACAACTGTAACCTAGTACTTAGAGGCTAAATAGTAAGGGTTAAAAATGTCAAGGTTGGGCTGGAGAGATGGCTCAGAGGTTAAGAGCATTGACTGCTGTTCCAGGGGTCCTGAGTTCAATTCCCAGCAACCACATGGTGGCTCACTACCATCTAATATTCAATCTGGTGCCCTCTTCTGGCATGTAGGCAGAAAAGTGTATATGTAAAAAATAAATAAATAAATCTTTTTAAAAAAAGAAAGGAAAAGAAAAGAAAATGTCAAGGTTAGCTAAGGCTACATAGGAAACTGTCTTCAAAGCAGAAGGGAGAAGCCAGGTTTGGTGGCTCATGTCTTTAATCCCAGCTCTCAGGAGGCAGAGGCAGGCAGATTTAAGTGAGTTTGAGGCCAGTCTGATCTACAGAATGAGTTCCAGGACAGCTAAGGCTACTCACAGAAACCCAGTCTTCAAAAACAAAAACAAAGGGGCAGGGGTCTTGGGTATGATGGCGCATACCTTTAATCCCATCACTCAGGAAGATGAGGCAGACAGAGCTGTTAGTTGGAGACCAGACTTATTTACAAAGCAAGTTCCAAACTAGTCAAAGCCACATACTAAGACTGTCTCACAAAACAAAAATAAATAAATGGGGCTGGAGAGATGGTTCAGGGGTTAAGAGCACTGACTGCTCTTCCAGAGGTTCAATTCCCAGCACCCACATGGCAGCTCACGACTATCCGTAACTCCTGTTCTGGGGGATCCAATACCCTCATAAAGACATTCATGCAGGCAATTCACCAATGTACATAAAATAAATAAATAAGAGTTTGGGGTTGGCTCAGAGGCTAAATGTGCTAATTGCTCTTCCAAAGAACCAATGTTTGGCCGGGCGTTGGTGGCGCACGCCTTTAATCCCAGCACTCGGGAGGCAGAGGCAGGCGGATTTCTGTGAGTTCGAGGCGGGGCTAGACTGATAGCCTCCAAAACAATACAGAGAAACCCTGTCTCATTAAAAAAAAAAAAAAAAAAAAAGGACCAATGTTTGATTTTCTATATACACATGGCAACTCACAAGCATCTGTAACTCCAGTTCCAGGTGATCAGACACCTTCTTCTGATCGCCACAGATACCAGGCACACAGACATAGGTAGCCAAAATACCCATGCAATTAAAAAAAAAGTATCCAGCTGGGCGGTGGTGGTGCAAGCCTTTAATCCCAGCACTCGGGAGGCAGAGGCAGGCGGATCTCTGTGAGTTCGGGCTGGACCGATAGCCTCCAAAACAATACAGAGAAACCCGTTCTCGTAAAATAAATAAATAAATAAATACATAAAAATAAAATATACCCATGCAATAAAAAAGCAGTAAAAGGAAATAATATTTTTAATTCCTCCAGATAGATTCAGAGAAGTCTGTTTTGGATGTTTGTTGGGTCCCTTTATTTGAAGAGGAAACCACCTTTAACTTTTACTAATTTCTAATTAAAATTTAGAATTTCTTCAATTCTGTCTCTAGACCACCAGAGAATGATAGCAGCCCCTAGGGCTGACACCAATAGGAAGGTAAGATGCTTTTACACACACTAGAGTCAGAGAAGATCTAAAAATGATGTCCACTGAAACGCCTTCCTTCACTGTTACACACCTACTGGCTTACACTATCCAAAACATTAAATAGAAGCACCCAGAAAGGTAGAAGAGAACTGACCACAGATATTGTCCTCTAACATCCATATGCACCCCTGTGCACACATAACAAATAATAATTTAAAAATTTTAAATAGTCAAGTGGGTTCAGAAGCACACTCCTCACTGTCCGGAAGAATGACACCCTTGAGAGCCACCCAGATTGTTAACATGTATTGGTCACTGAACAGCAGAGTACTACACTATATAAATGGACTGAGGCTGTTTAATCATTCACTCATTGGAGGGTTGCCAGTTGTTTGCACTATGACAAATACAATAAAGCTGCTATGCACATTTATGTGTAGTTTTTTTGGGGAGGTTTTTTTTTATTCTTACTTGGTGTGTGTGTGTATCTGTGGGGGGGGTGCTGTGTTTAACCAATTAATTTCCAGGAATAACGCATACAAACCAAATTCCTCACCCAAAAAAAAAAAAAAGAGCTTTTTAACCTTAAAACTAGGGGAACACTGGAAGGAAAAAAGAAACCCTTTAAAGGGCAATAAACTTGAGTTCTGTTTCAGTAAGCATTTTACTGTTGTTCCAGGTTTGCGAACTTTCACTGATGACTGAAAACTGAAGCTTTGAGAAGCTCTTGCACTTCGTGGCTGAGCCTCTGAATCTTGGTTTTTGCAGACACATTTCTCCCCAACATGGACAATCATCCCACCCGCGAGTGATCTCCAATATCCTAGCTAGCTTTGACCTAGAAGGTTGTCGGGACTCCCCTTAACTCAAAGAACAGTTTCATGGAAGGGAAATGCAGCCGTCACCGTGTGAGGTATTTCTCCGAGGTGGACGTTCACAATGACGAAAATGACAGAGGACCCCCAGGGTATCTAGACAACTGTTTTTGGTGAAGCTGGCGTCAGTGGGGAAAAGCTTTCCTTTGCCACCATGTCCTTCAGGCTTTTCACTTTGACCGGCACTTAATGTGGAGATGCAGGACTAGAGACACCGTGGGATCCTTCAGTTGTCCCACTTGGAACACCTGCTCAGCTTAGTCTAACTTATTCTGTTTGGATGCATTAGAAAGGCTGTGGAGTGGTCGCCTTCATTGTCGTGTGTCTCAGCAAGGGGCCTCATAAAGAACACTGCAGCTACAGGGACATCATGGACACTGTCGCGGCCATTTTCTTCCCAGGCAGGCAGTTTTTAAACTCCAATAGCTGTATCCTTGTGGTTTAAAGGGTTGCTCTTTCTCTGTGTTTTTATTTGCGTTTTCATGCAATGCACGCGAATGTGTATGAGTGTAGGTATTCGTGTGCCACAGCACAAGGTGGGATGATGACCTTGGTTGGTGGCCCTCATCGTCCGCCTTGTTTGCGATACGATCACTGTGCAGGTTTTCCCACTGTGTGTGCTAAGCTAGCTAGCACCAGAACTTCCAGAGATTCTCCTGCGTCTGCCTCCCATCTTCTTCCCATAAGGGTGCCGGAAGTACAGAGGCTCACACTATGTGTCTGGCACTTATGTAGGTTCTGGGGATTTGAACTCACATCCTTATGCTTATTATTCTGCAAGTGCTTTTACCCAATGAGCCATCTCTCCAGTTTTCTCTCTATTTTTAAAAAGTTTATAGATAATTACCCTTTGTCAGTCAATCCAAACTTCAAAAAAGTATAGGCACTCTCTGCTTTAAGAAAAAGATGAGGCCAGGCAGGATTAGGAGGTGAAGGCAGGTGGATCTCAGTGAGTTTGAAGCCAGCCCAGTCTGCAAAGGGAGTTCCTGTAAAGCCAGGGCTACACACAAAGAAACACTGTCTCAACCACTTCCACCCACCCCACCCCACCCAAAAAAAGGAAAAGGAGATGGGAGAAAGAGAGAGAGGGAGAGAAACCGGGAGGAAGAAAGGGAGGAGGGGGGGAAACCTATGTTCTTACACTAAAGTCATCCAGCTCTGAGGTTTTCTTTAAGAAAAACGAGAAATGTCTGCCTTTTACCCAAGTTAGTTTGAGACCCTCCCTGTCTTCTGTGAGGCCAGGAAACAACATCTCCAGCCCAGCAGAGAAAGGCTCATGCTTTTGAGAACACGAGGGAGGAGACTTCCCTAACTGTCAGTCAGGGATTAGTGTGTATGGCTGCAGTCTAACAATGAGGAGGGCCAGCAATACCGAAGACCAGAGTTCGCTGCATTCACTGGAGACACATGCTCTTCTCTTCAGACCCCGAGGAATAAGGAACCCGGTTAATGTCCTGGCCATAAGATTCTGAGTTGGGCTTCATCTGGTTTAAAGTGAATAAAGTAGAGCTAGGCGTGGCGGGACACACCTGTAATCCCAGCGCTTGGGGAATGGGAGATGATCAGAAGTTCAAGGCCAGCCTGAGCTGCCTGAACATGAGTTCAAAACAACATAATGGAGTAAAGCTTTCTGCCATTTCCTGCTCTCCTACAGTTGTAACATAAGACTGATGCTCAAAACATAATCAACATGAAAAAATAAGACAGAGAGCTAAACTGTACGTGGTGAACTTGCTTACCCGCTAAAAACTGGTGGGAAACTAAACCACTCTGGTCAAGATGCGGATCTGTAAACATTGTCGCAGGAAGGTGGGCTTCTTAGAAGAAAAATTTTCAACAAAAGATAAGAACTTGGAAATTGCATTTGTTATTAAATTTGTGCTATGGATTTTTAAAATTTATTGGTGATTTGCTTAACAACTGTCCCCACTGTCTCATGCTTCCCAAAGCTTCAGATGGCCTGGTGGCCTCTTCTTTTTATGTTCTTTTATTATTTTGTGGTCTCCTCTTTTGACCCTGTGTATATTTTTATCTTCATTATATTTATATCATCGTTATATTTATACCAGACATTATTTTTCAGGTGAAGATTGCTGGGACCCAGTGTAAGTAAAAATGGATAAGTTGGAAACAGACTTAATGAAATTGTTGACCTGATCTAATAACATTTGTTCTGGTAAATTAACTACTCAAGGTAAAAAAATGATCTATATGAGATAATTCCATCTAAAAGTCTGGGTCAATAAACACAAGACAAAAATACCTTTGGGTCAAAAGAGGGGACCACAAATAATAAAAGGACAAAAGAGAAAGGACCACATATGCAGATATTCTTGGAAGCATGAGACAGTGGGGACAACTGCTATGCTGGGAATGGTGGTCAACACTTGCAATCCAGCACTTGGAAGGTTGGGGCAGGGGAGTCATGAGTCTGGGGCCAGCCTGGGTTACATCCTTGTGGCAAAAGGAAGAAAGGGTCAGGGATGTATCTCAGTCAGTAGAGTGCTTGTGTAGCTTGCACAAAGCCCTGGGTTCAATATTGCATAAATGATATACAGTAGTACAAACCTGTAATCCCAGCAACCTTAGGGTGACAGCAGGAAGATTTAAGACATCCTCAGATACATATTAGTTTGAGGCTAACCTAAGCTGTATGAGACCCTGGGAAGAGAGGGAGAGAGAGAGAGAGAGAGAGAGAGAGAGAGAGAGAGAGAGAGAGAGAGAGAGAGAGAGAGAGAGAGAGAGAGAGAGAATCATCAAATCACCATCATATTATTTGGTTACTCAATCATTTTTCATCAATACAGATTTTCACTGTGTGTCTATTTATTTGGGACCATCTTGATTATGGCTTAGCAAATATTCACTGCACCTCCCTCTACTGAGAAGGGAGTGGAGCCCATTAAAGTTGGGCTGGGCTATATGGCTTATTTTGGCCTGTGGAATGTTCCTAGACTTAACAAGAGCAGTGGCCTTAAATGGGCTTGTGCTGTTTGACTTGGCTCTCACACCTCAGGGAGCTGCCATGGAATCATATGCCCTAGGGAGACTCTGGTCCAAGTTGGATGAGAACATGTGGAGCAGATCTTCATCTAGTCCCAGCCCGAAGTTAACTTGCCAGCCCACACAGGAGGCAGAGCTGCACACCAGGCCCAGGCCAGGTCTGCTGCACAGCAGGCAACCTGCAGACCAGGGGAGTGAGAGAAATACTGAGCTTGGAGGAAAACAAAAACAACTAAAACAAGAAGCAACAGCAACCATGATGAAGGATGGGTATTGATGGGGCTCTGCTTTTCAGACTGGGCATTGAGCTCACGTGTGTTCATCATAGTCTTTGCATACATATGTTATGTGTGCTATCATTTATTAATTTTTCACAGTAAACAAACAAACAAAAGAAAGGATATGTAAGAGAGAGCCAGCAAGATGGCTCAGCAAGTGAGGGTACCTGCTGTTAAACCTGACAACCTGAGTTCAATCTCCAGGACACACTTGGTAGAAGGAGAAACTAACTACCACCAATTGTCATCTATCTCCACACCTATGCTGTGACATGTGTATGTGTGCGTGTAAACACACACACACACACACACACACACACACACGAGGGAGGAAGGAAGGAAGAAAGGAAAGAGTAATGGAGGGAGGGGTCTGATGCTATAGCCTACAACCAACTTTTATATAATAAACAGAATGTGGTTTGAAAAGTTAGGAGCAGCCAGGTGGTGCTTATGCCTTTAATACCTTTAGTTCCAGCACTCAGGAGGCAGGGCCAGGAGAATTTCTGAGTTGGAGGCCATCCTTCTCTACCTCAGGATACCCAGAGGTACACAGGAAACCAAGTCTCTTGTAGTGGCATCTCGCTTTGCCAGTGAACTTGTAGTAGTGACCAGACCCTTTGAAAAGCTATGAATACCATCAAAGTTGATCAAGATTCTATTTGAACAGGAGAAACCTTTTTTTTTTTTTTTTTTTTTGGTTTTTCGAGACAGAGTTTCTCTGTAGATTTGGAGACTGACTGTCCTGGAACTCTCTTTGAAGACCAGACTGGCCTTGAACTCACAGAGATCCGCCTGCCTCTGCCACCACCACCCAGCCATGAGAAACCTCTTGACGAGGAGAAATGATAGGTCCTCCACCAAGGTAAATCCCACAAGTTGTATGGAGACCTCATAAAGGTCAGGGGAGTCTTCTGTTCTTGTCTTTACAGGAAAACAGAAAATACCCATCTTCAAGAAGCCAAAAGACATTAGACGTGTAGATGCCTAAAGAAGAAAGGGTAGCTATCCAGAAAGAATCATCAAAGAAGAGTCTGACTTATGGCACCAACATCTATACAGGGTAAAATCCTACTTCTGACACCATTGCTCTTCTTCTTAAAGGGGTCACATCCCCACCTGAAACCACGCCCAAAGGGTGTGGCCACTAGTACAAGTTCACTGGCAAGGTGAGATGCTACTACAGTTTCTGTCTCATAAAAGCAAAACCAAGCAAACAAAAAAGTTAGGGGCAGACTTCAAGGGCTGGGGCCGCCTAGAGAAGGTTGGGGCCAGTGGGATATAAAGATGGGCAAGCAGGCGCAAGGCCTTGAACTTGAATGTAGCTATAACCTGAACTTCAGACCATCCAGCAGCCACCTCTGAGTGCTGGGCTCACAAGTATGTACCACCAGGCCTGCTTTTATTCTGGGTTGGTGACTGAACCCAGGGTTTGGTGCTTGGTAGGCAAGCAATCTACCGACTGATGTTCGTTCCCAGCCTTTCTTTCCCTCTTTATCCTTTCCAGATTTCCCAAAGACCCCATAATGAACAAGTATGCGTTTTGTATCAGGGAAAAGAAGGAGGAATATTGTGTCAGATAGCCTGTTACTTCTCAGTAGGCATTTTCTCTCTTGAGCCTGACCTGGAATAGGTCACTCCCCCGGGTTTCATTTATTGTGTGCCCCCTAGTGGTGGTTTGAATGAGAATGGCCGCGCCAGGTGCCTGTATTTGAATGCTTGGTCCACAGTTGGCGCAACCGTTGAGGAAGGATTAGGAGGCGTGAGCTCATTGGAGGAGGTGTGTCAGGGATGGACTATGAGGTTCCAAGCTAAGCAATCCTAGTTAGCTCTCTGTCTTGTGCTTGCAGATCTGGATGTGAGCTCTGAGCTACTGCTCCAGCATTACACCTGCCGTGCCCCCCTCCACCATTGCCATGGACGCCAACCCTTTGAAACTGAGAGCCACAAAGTAAACACTTTCATCCAGCAGTGGTAACACTCACCTTTAATCCCAGCACTGGGGATGTAGAGGCAGGTGGATCTCTGTGAGTTTGAGGCCAGCCTGCTCTACAACATGAGTTCTAAGACAACCAGGGCTACACAGGAAAAAACATGTCTTGATAAGCAAAAACAAACAGATTAAACACTTTCTTTGATAAATTGCCGTGGTTCCAGTGTTTTATCATAGCTATAGAAAGG